CAACCATCTTTCCTGGACCAACTCCTTTAACCCCTGACCCACCACCACCTCCAAAGGAAGGAAAAAGAAAAGAAGGTAGAAAGGTAAAGAAAGAGAAAAAATAGAATGAATTCTGCTTTGTTTTCCCAATCTGGTTTACAGAGCACTAGACTGTGTAAGAGACTGCTGTGTCAAAATAAGGCTAATATTTTGTTTGCAGGTGGGGAGGGCTATTTGTCGTTGTTGTTGTTTTTGAGTATTTACCTTGGGCCAGGCATCATTCTACGGAGTTTTATCTAATTTAATCCTCACAAAAACCATTCCAAATTGATACTATTATTTTGTCCATATTCTGGATGAAAAAAACTAAATCCAGATAACTTCAGTATGTACCCAAGAACATCCAGCTGGGTGCTGGTGGTGAGCAGAAAGGCATTGCTGCATTCTGGCACCAGGGCTTGTGCTCCTGGCTATTGCCAGTCTGCATTTCAGTTGTCCATGACTTAAAAGATGCTGTCTACTCCCCAACCCTCTCCTATTTGCAGAGAACACAGATTTGTTAATAAAATAGCATAAAGATTTCAAAAATGATAGGATAGCTTGGCTTGACTACTGTTTCTCCAGATAACAATGATGAAATCTGGGCAAAATTTAAAAGTGAACTCTTTGCAGGCACTGGTGAGTGGCCATAGCAAGCACAAACTAAAAGGAAACCTGCTCTTGAGAGTTAATCTGTGATGAATGAGATCTGCAAGTTTGTGCCTTTTTGCCTGAGAGAAACTTCCAGTCTGGAAGAGGGTTCCAGGGGCAAAAATCTATAGCCTTAGTAACTGAAAGTACCAGAGAATATAATCTGGGATTGCCAGAGCAACAAGAAGATTAGCAGAAAGTCATGGAGACAGTAAGCCCCAAAATAAAACGTTAATTTTTAGAAATAATTTATAGAAGAAAATTTTTTTTAATTTATAAATTAATTAGGAATAAATTTAGCAAAAGACTGGCACAATCTATATGTTGAAAATCATAAAACATTACTAAGAGAAACTGAAAAAGACCCAAATAAATAGACAGATATACCATGTTCATGGATTAGAGGAATCAATGCTGTTAAGATGCCAGTTCTGGCCAGGTGCAGTGGCTCATGTCTGTAATCCCAACACTTTGTGAAGCCAAGGTGGGAAGATCACTTGAAGGCCAAGAGTTCAAGACCAGCCTGGTTAACATAGCAAGACCCAAACTCTATAAAAAATTAAACACTAAAAAAAATGCCAGTTTTCTCCTCTTAAGCTATAGATTTAACACAGCCCCATTCATAATGCAGCAGACTTTTTAAAAAGAAAGTGGCCAGCTGATTCTAAAATTTACGTGGACATGAAAAGACCTAGCCCAATAATCTGTGGAATGGGGAACAACAGAAGACTTAACCCTATTTGGCTTCAAGATCTTATGTAAAGCTATAGTAATGCAGGCAGTGTGGTTGATATTGGTACAGTATAGACAAAGATCAATAGAAAAGAAATGAGAGTTCAGAAATAGACCTAAACCTAGATGGCCAAATGATTTTTGACAGAAGTAATTCATTTGGGAAAGAATAGTCAACAATGAATGCTGAACAGCCATAGATCTATATTTTTGAAAATGAATACCATATACAAAAATTAATTCATGATAGATCACAAAACTAAAAGTTAAAGCTATGAAGCTTATAAAAGAAAACATAGAATATTTTCATGACCTGGAAGCAGGCAAAGATTTCTTAGGATACAGAAAGCACTAATCAGGAAAGAAAATTTTGACAAGTTAGACTCTATCGAAGGACATTAATTGGGCAATGCAGAATAGGCCCACTACAGACCTGGAGAAAATATTCATAAAATACAGCATATAAAATGCTTTTATCTGGAATGTATAAAAGTCTCCTACAACCCTCCTACAAATGAAAACACAACAGAAAAAATGGGAAAATGATTCAAACAACCAATTTACAAAGGAAGGTATATGAATGGCCTATAAACACATGAAAACATGTTCAGTATCATTAGTCATCAGAGAGATGCAAATTAAAAGCACAATGAGACACTACACACCCACTGAGATGGGTAATATTAAAAAGACTGACACCACCAGATGTCAGTGAAGATGTGGTGTAACGGAAGTGTCATGTCACAAGAGAAATGTAAAATGGAATAATTCTGATGGTTGTAGTCAGTTATGCATCTATCTTTGATCCAGTAATTCCTCTTGTAGGCATTTATCCACAGGAAATGACAACATGTATTCACAGAAATACTTGTACATTAAGGTTCATATAGTAGTTTAATTCACAATAGCTGAAAAGTAGAAATAGTCTGTGTATCCAGAAGCAAAGGACTGAGTCAACATATTGTGATTCCTTTACAAAGTAGAACATTACTGATCAATAAATAGGAATTAATTATTGATATATGCAACAACATGATGGATCTCAGACATCATGCTGAGTAAAATAAGACACAAAAAAGTGTATGCTAAATGATTCCATTTACGTGAAGTTCTAGAACAGGCAAAACCAGTTGAAAGTGGTGGGGGTCAGGCAAGTGCCTGGAAAGGTGGGAGGGAGTGGGCCGTGAGGGTGGACTGAGAAGGGATATGGGGGAGTTTTCTGGGGATCTGGAAACTTCTATACCTTAATTGGTATGTGGGTTACACCATTGTATTCATGTGTCAAAATTGTATAGCTACAATTTATGCATTTTAATGTATATAAATTTTACATTAGAAGAACTGTAAAAAAGTCACAGTTGGGGAGTGAGTGGTGATATCGATGAAGCAAGAAGGCAGAAGGTTGGTAATTTGTTGAGGCTGGGTGATGTGTACATGGGGGTCTATTATACTCTTCTGTTTACTTTGTATATGTTTGAGATTTTTGATGATAAACAGCATAGAGGTGCTAGCCCTGAGGAAGTTAGTTATTAGCCAAGTAGGTTTCAGCTGGAGCAGAGAGGACTCTAAATTTAAAAGCACCAGAGGTGGGGGGTCCAGGAAGGACTTGGGAGTAAAGTGGGGGCTTTGGGTAATATGACAGGATGACAGTGGACAGAGCAGGGCAGAAGGTCAGGGACAGGAGAAATGGGTAGAAAGGATGACAAAATGGTTGCCTTCACAGGCTTGAACTCCTCCCCCACCCAGATGTACCTCTCCCTCTCCCTGTAGGAGTGCCACTGGTCCCAGTCTTCTTCCCCATCCAAGGCCTCCATTCTGATTGCTGTACTAGTTAGTTACAACTGCTCACAAGTGCATTCCATGCCTTAGTTTCCCCATGTAGTTCACAGAGCAGTCATCACCTTCTGTGATGGGCATTTTCTTTCCTAATAGGGAAGGGATTTTTCAGGTTGAGGGTCTTCTAGCTTCACAACTCCCTGAGTCCAGAAAGGCTAGCAAGAGGCAGCTGGCCCAAGACACATGGGTACCCCAGAAGGCAAATTAACTGGGCATTTCTTCAAACCAGGATTTTCTAAGTATTAGCATGATACTTTCCTAGTGGAGAGAGAAAGAAATTGATTTCCTTCTGAGAAAAATAGTATGCCTCCTTCTTTTCATTCCAATTAAAAAACTGATTACAGTTGATTTACTAAATTAGAAACTGTCTTGGGAGGCATGTTTAAAAAAATGTAAAATTTAAATAATCAATTCCCCCCCGCCTTGCCCTTTTTGGTCTGACAGCAACCTGTTATGCATTATTCAGTCTTCAGGCTGATTTAGGCTTGGTGGCATGCACATTGCAGACATATCCAACAGAGATAGATCAGTGCCTTCAGGTTTTTAAATTTATATCCCAGAGTACTCTCTGCTCTGTCAGGAGTGAGCTCAATTCACCAACTCTGTGGAATTACATGAGAAACCTGACTTAACATGGCAGCAAAGTCCGGGTGTGGTGCTCACGCCTGTAATCCCAGCATTTTGGGAGGCCAAGGCAGGCGGATCATTGGAGGTCAGGAGTTCAAGTTTAGCCAACATGATAAAACTCCATCTCTATTAAAAATAAAAAAAATTATTCAAGCATGGTGGTATGTGCCTGTAGTCCCAGCTACTCAGGAGGCCGAGGCAGGAGAATGGCTTGAACCTGGGAGGCGGAGGCTGCAGTGAGCTGAGATAGCACCACTGCATTCCAGCCTGGTTCACAGAGCAAGATGCCATCTCAAGAAAAAAAAAATGGCACCAAAGTGATTTCAGAACTAGGCAGGACCTTACAGATGCACTTCCAAGCAGCTGCCTGGCCACCTCTGACTCTAGGCCAGAAAGCTGCGGCATTAGGCTGGGAGGCAGGCAGTCTATTAACCTCTGGTTAACAAGAAGGTGGAAACAACAGGGTACCTGGTTTCTTGCCAGCACTCATTTCTTGTGACCCTGCTCGTGTGGGGATTGTGGCGCTTAATCCTTCCAAGTGAATCTTGTCCTTATCGTGTCCAGTCCCACCACTCCGTGAATCGGCTTGTCCTAGTAGAAATCCTCAGTCTAGTGGCCCAGGATTCCAAATCCCAGTTTAATTTCGTGGCTTGTGTGACCTGTATTAGTGTCTCCATCAGCCACACAGAGATGGTAACTCCTGCTTCCCTGTGTTGTGGAGCCAATGAAATCATGTCTGCAAAGGCCCTAGCAGTGCCTGATGCAGGAGCTCAGCGATGCTGGCTAAATTGCAAACCACTCAGAAGGTGCTGTTCACATGGTGGATGTTCAGTAATTACTGATTGGTTAGGTTATAATGTGGTGCAGAAGCAAATTTTCGGTGTTCTTTGCCTCTCTGCATTTTCTCCTCCCTTCTGCTCTCTCAGTTCCTCCATCTCTGTCTCATTTCACCCATTTGTTCGTGTATCAGGTATAGCCCATTGTGTGCAAATCTTTCCCTAAGTGCTAGAGAATCAGAGACAAAGCGAACATAAAGACAGAATCCTACCCTAGAGAATCACAATTTCCGGTCCATGTGAGAACTGTGGGAGCCCAGTGGAGGGCACCCCTGAGCCGTGCCCTTCTCTTCTCTGCAGGAGATCATCACCTCCATCCTGCTGAGTGGGCGGATTGGCCCCAACATCCAGTTGGCTGAGTGCTATGGGCTGAGGCTAAAGCACATGAAGTCA